TCATTGTGGGCCGTTCGGTTTTTCATCTTCACGTTATTGGAGAGTCCGCGTTTTCTATCTGGCATCGGTCGTGACGCTGATGCCATCGAGGTCATCCACAAATTGGCGAAATTCAACGGAAAGACATCTCCCATCACAATAGAAGAACTTGAAGCTCCCGACAGAGCAATGTCGGGCGGACATTTATCCTCCGGGGAAAGGCACAATATATTCAGCAAGAGCTCGAAATATGACACTGGTCATATCAAAGCTCTCTTTGCCACTCCAAAAATGGCTTGGTCGACTAGTCTCTTGATTGCTATCTGGGGTAAAGATGTAGTCATCGCTGTGTGTACAATGACCAACGAAACATAGGTGTTATCGGACTTGCCTCCACGCTGTATAACAATTTCCTGCCATATTTGTGAGTCTTCAACCTAGATACATACCATCTGTTTGTCTCATGCCTTGTAGACTTTCCAGCCGTGGTGCTGTCTTCGGGGATGGATCGCTGTACATAACCTATCGCAACGTACGTATAATACTTTGTCCTGTGTTTTATAGCTAAAGCCGCTGTGCAGCAAGTCATTTTGAGTGTCATCGGTGTCCCTGCTGCTTTGCTCGCCGGCTGGGCAGTAGAACTCCCATACATTGGGCGCAAGGGTACTCTTGCCATTGCCTCAGGCAAGTAACAAGATGCTTCCAAGTAATTCCATTACTCAACGACCTCCTGCGAAATAAAGGGCTCACTGGCGCGTTTTTGTTCGCAACCACCACTTCCCAGACATCCAACCAACTCCTAGGGTGGAATTGCGGATATGTGTTCTTTAGCAACGTAAGTGAATTAGTGTATCAGACTAGGAGACTAGATTAAATGTGATCAGGTGATGTATGGCGTCTTGTATGCTATTTCTCCCGAGATCTTTCCTGCGAAAGATCGCGGAACAGGTAATGGTCTGACGTCTACAGCCTCGAGGGTGTTTGGCGTTTTGGTGCGCTCACTTGCCTTCTCATACTACTTGTTCTTACCGTGACCTGAACCTTAGGCCCCCATTATTGCGCTATATGCTAACCTCGCGACGGCGGTACCTGTATATATCGCTGGAGCTCTGATAATGTTTGCTGGTAGCCTGGCTCTCTTGTTGCCCTATGAGCCCAGAGGTAAAGTTTCTATCTAGTGTTTTCACTTGCGATACCACGTTTCGACTGCTCGTGGAACTTGAATTGTAGGTTGTGTATTAGATTACAGTAGCATGATCCAAAAGATTGCTCTGGTACTTTCTCAAATGTAGTTTGCGAACCGTCAGAACAAAATCTATGCAGAGAACCTGCGTGACTTGGGAGCGAAAGCAGGTTGTGGAATGAATCGTCGGCAACGCGTGAAAAATAATTCTGTTCTCCATCCACACTCGGACATTAATACTATGTGTCTATACTCTACAGACTACCAGCCAAATACTCCTGACTCCGCTAACAATGTGGCAAGCTCCCAAGAGGAAACAGCCAGAGGCTAACTGAGACTTAGCCTGAGCTTGCAAGTTTCTCCGGATTCTAGGTTATCTCTGTATTTCTTCCTCTAGATCTGTTCTATGCATAGACGACTCCATTGCGTGATTGCGTAGTTACCTTGATTGACGCAATGGTTGCTTAAGCACGCTTCATTTTGAGATTTGTGGCGACTCAGATCGCACGAAATTCATGTTGTGGTTTGTGGACGTGTTATTTTACATTGTTGTGCACGCGTTTCTACACCCGCCCCGAGCATTCGTAGGAGGGCAAGAATGGGGTGCTTCAAGTAACTGTGGTATAATGCAGCGAAATTATCCTCCAAGACAGCCCACAGCCATCTGTGGAATTCCACTGTTCTGGGAATGACCACAACTATGTGCTCATTTTTATATTTGTTCTTTTGACCAGCGCTTTCTTATATTTGTGGACCAAGAGTGTCACAGCACTACATATTCGACTTTGGCAGTATCTCTTCTCTCTTCGCCTCTATCCATCATGCCTTCCACTTACCTTCTACCAGTCATAAACGACGTCGTCCCCCCTGCACTCGATAGTCGAAGAGTTACTCGTGAACTGACTACACGTCTTTGCTCTAAAGACCATCTCCTGCATGGTATCGACGACATCATGAAGTTCGAGCATTCGGAGGACTATGAATTACAACGATACGGTCGAAAGGTCTTGTCTTTTCTGTCAAACATCTTCTATAATCAACTGACGATTTCCGTACAGATCATCTCCCTGATTGAGGTAAATATAATTTTAATCATCGCAGGCTCTTCCAATAATGCTTTCGGTAATCCAGGTCACGCGCAGCACTCTTAAACGTTTACAAGTGGAATTATACTTGTTCGTTGCTTGTTCAGTAGCTCTCCTGCCGTTTAAGTCGGCATATTTTAAATTACTTCTTTTCATCGAACGCCGGAAGCACGCCTTTGGTTCTGACCTGGACAGTAAATATCGTTCGTTATTTTGTTCTATTCATTCTCACCACTCGTACAGAAAGAATATCCCGGCTCTTGGATCCTCTATATAGTCGGTTTGTCGTATGCTACGGGGGAGTGGACCCCCGTGTCCAACTGGGCATCAAGGGATTACCAGCCCCTCCTGACATTCCAGCCACTTGGAAGAGCACCATACATCCTGTAGTTCCTGGTGTATCATCAGCACAAAGACAGGAAGACATGGCGTCCGATATCATGCTATGTATGTGAACCTTTTACAATATTCAGGAGGCCTATATTGATAAATGATTTTTAGCACCAGATGCTTTCGCAAGAAAAAAGGCGAGACTCGACCGACTCGGAGAATTTATAAAAGAACAATCTGCGAAGAAGTTCGGTCGTGGACGAGGACTTCTCATGCTGGAGGAACACCCAGCTGGCAACTCCGGGGAGAAACGTCTAGTACCAAGGCAATACGCAACGGGAAACCCAGAGGAAATGCGCGTGGTACCTAAGCAATACGCAACGGGAAACCCGGAGGAATGGCGCCTGGTGCCTAAGCAATACGCAACGGGCAACCCAGAAGAAAGGCCCCTGGTACCTAAGCAATGCGCAACAGGTAGCCTGGAGGAAAGGCGTCTTGTACCTAAGCAATACGCAACGGGTAATCCGCAGGAAAGGCGTCTTGCACCTAAGCAATATGCAGTGGGCAAGCCGGGGGCAAAACGTCTAGTGCCTCAACAATACCCAGCAGGCAAGCCGGGGACAAACCAAGCTCCAGTGCCTAAGTATTACACAGCGCGCGACGATCAACTGGGCAACAACGTGAAGCCTTCCTGCCCTGGAAGGGCGCTAACTCGAACATATGCCCAATACTTTGACGATGTCTGATCGGACACATAGCTAAACTCTCGCCCGCATTTCTTGTTATATCATGAACATGGAATCTATTCTACGCGCATCTAGTGGAAGCAATATCGTTATCACCTTTTGTAATATGGTCGTCCTTCGAAGTTTCATATGTGTAATAATAGTATACCTACGTCACATCACTCTCAGTCGGCGAACCATTCTCAGTTGATGCACAACTGGGGTCCTTGGCCTCCGCCTGTAGATTTGTAATGCAATCCATCCTCCCCATCAAATTCTCTTTCGTTTGTAACTCTCGGCGGCTGGAGGTGCCTCAGGATGTTGTTCTTCAAGCTTTATTACTAATAGTATTCATCACTTCTCCAATCGATTCTCTAAAGTACGTTCAAATATAAAGCTGGAACCATGATCCAAACCTGTACCTGGTACGGACGCAGCTGGAAGGCTGAGCACGAGGAGGTAAGTCACAAGGAATGAAATCCAAATTCGGATACACCCAGGTCAATAAAAGGCACACCCGCTCAGGATTTTCTCTACTCGGGGACGGTGGGTTGACCTGCGTCTTGTGCACGCTTGCGAGTTTGCTGCTAATGACTACTCGTATCGTGCATGCATCGAGGAGCGGTCCAGTGATAGATGCAGCCGCAGCAGCTTATTAGGAGCTGTGCGCAGTCGCTGATGACCGACAACGTGGTCACCAAGATTTGACATTGGCAGTCTTCAAGGGCCCTGTATATCCGTGAATTTTGCTGAACATGCGGAGAACGTATGTGCATGGGGATGCAATTTCGGGAAGTCGGGTGTGCAATTGAGAATTGAAGCTCTCCTCCCTGTGCTACGGTAGGACAAGCCATAAGCTCATGGTTTGTATATACATACCTGATTTGCGAGAAGTCGAGCGTATCCGCGCAGCGCATGCCTACGTGACGATAAATACATAAGATTGAACGAGGAATGTTTGCAAAGACACGGGAATGGCTTACCGATACCTGCTTTAGAAAACCGCACATTGTTCTGTATTTAGTAGACGATACGATATATAAACTTATACTGGTGATGAAGATTATTCAATCGTATGGGGATCTAGGGATCGAAAAGGCAGTAAATAGACAAGGGCGATCGGATTGTGATTGACTAGTGAGACGGCGACGACTAAGACCTTACAGAACAAAGGTCGGAGAGGACATGCTTGTATCGTCAGGTCATCCTGCTGGGGTCTCAACTGAAGTACAGAGTGAGGGGATAGATTTGAAGACTGCTGAATCGTATGGGACCAGTGGAGAAACGCATGAATGCCAGCTTGTAAAATAAAACTAGGCGCGATACCGAGGGGCCAAATTGATCCAAATGAAGATACTGGGCATGAATAGAACTTGGCGCTGAATCTGCACAGCCAGTGTTCACGCTGTCGAATAGAGGATCTTCAGACGCACTGCTGTGGATAAATTAAACAACGACCTCCTTCCCGAATTGACTCTGGATTGAACAGACCCCCACTCCGTCGCAGCTTACATTCTCCATTCGTGCGTACATCTGCATTCTGATCAAGTAAGTGATTGATTCGTCCGGCACATCATATTAAGAGCTGAAATTATCCCTTGCCCGTTGGGGAAGTCCCCGAACCAAAAACATGCCGCACACAGCCCCAGCGAATCAAGAAACTTCAGCAATATTAATCCCTTACCGAAAGATCGAAACAGTTAGACTCAGATCTGAAGACACAGCAGGGGATAATAGGATCAGACACATCCTACACCTGCCCGAAGGACAGCGGATCATCAAGGTGTCAGGCTCACTTCAAGTCTGGGACTTGGAGAAGGGTACGCAAGTTGGGAAGGAATAGGAGGACAAAGGCATAGGAGTGCGCGCCATAGCATTGTCGCCGGACGGCAAGATAGTAGCGAGTGAGAGTGAGGATGGCGCAGTGAAATTGTGGGACGTCGACACAGACAAGGTCATCAAAACATGGAAGGGACACACACAAGAAGTGAAATCCGTGTGCTGGAGCCCAGACGGAGGGCGAGTGGTGAGCAGATCCTTCAAAGAAATCAGAGTGTGGGATGTCGAAAGCGGAGAAACTATCCTTGGACCAATTGACGCAGGGATCAACGTGTCCGCGGTTTGCTACTCGCCAGATGGCAAGATGATTACAACAGGCGGGGTTGACCTAAAAATCTGGGATGCCAACTCGGGCGAATTGCTCAAAACACTCGAGGGTTTTTTTTACGTGCATGGTCTTCGGATGGAAAAATATTCATCACCGGGGGATCTAAGATTACGACATTCGACACAGCCACATGGACTGTTCGTGCACGAAAACCTCGTCGATACCATTTCAATATCTCCCAATGAGCGCATCCTCGCAAGCACAAAACACCTGGTCGAGACAGTGCGACAATGGAACCTCGAAACCAATCAGTCCATCGCAACACCACTCTACCATGAAAACCCGGTGAATTGCGCGACCTTTTCTGCAGATGGAAAGTTCCTCGTCACCGGCTGTGATGATGGCGACATACACATATGGGACGTTTCCGCTATCATCAAAGAAGTTGGTCTTCCGTCAAATATTGTAAGCTTAGATATAAATATTCTCAAAATTAATCACACTGACAACAGATCTTCCTCCCCAGGCTGATGCTACACCACGACCAGCTCCAAAGATCAAAGGTACCCGTCGAATCCCTCCAGGATTTTTTAATGATGCACTGCAAGAAGCTCATGTACGTGATCGATGATCTCCATCTATGATTGAATGGTTTGACAACTATGTTGCCAGTTGTCTAGATTGCGTACTCATCCATCCCAATCTGAATTATATGTGCAACATAACCGCCCAACCTCAGGACCACGTCAACACACCTTCAGCCGCTTTTTCTTTTTCTGGCGCCGCTCCAAGCCACATAGGGCAATTGAGCGTGACTCCCAAACCCGGTCCCACCCTCTCAGCTGGGCTCGAAACGTAGTCTCTGGCATGCTGCGCAGAGGACATGGATCGGACATGGAGATGCGAGAACCACCAGTAGTCGAGGACCCGTACACAGCTATCAAACCTGTACGTGTTTTCCCCTCATCGTTCTTTATTGCCGACTCCTTTTCCCGCAGAGGCACTATCACGCGACAAAGAAAAAACGAGCTCCCAGCTTATCTCAACCTCCCAACACTCATACTACGCAACAATACACTAGTGTAGCAACAGAGCACACCATCGTCGTCGCAGATACCACCTCCCACTGCCATTGCCTCGACACTTTCCGCTATCGCCGGTATCGCAGGGATAACATGAACCGTCCCACGTCCTGACATTACCGTAAGACAGGCCGGATGGTGGACCTGTCTTATGCTCTGGGTTACTTGCGTGTCCGTGGAGTACACAAACAATCAACCTTAGGGTTTCATTCACACTTGTTCAGTAATAGACTACGATTCTCTTGTTGTTATTGTATTTGCATTCCTTATTTAGTTCATTAATGTGTACCATAGTGGGGAACCAATATCCGTAAATTATTGAGTCATATTGCGCATGTCCTACAGGAGGGACAATTGAGATTAATGTTTCAATGATGGTCTTCCTTTTCACATTGTATGCAAAGTTGAGACAAGATCTCGTTACCCAAATGAACTGCAATACGAGCATCACAACCACGCACCGATGCCAGCATGATTGTCGTTGTTGTCCAAAAAAAAACGCGCCTGACTTACTGTACAGGAGGTTCCCCTACCATTGTCCAAATGCACAGACAGTGCTCTGTAGCTCCACGTGCAGAAGTGAGGTTGGGGAAGTAAGAAATCCTTACGAGATGAACAAATCCGGTCAGCGCGTTCTCCTGCCATTAATAATGAAATGTGGTCCAGTTTATCTTGGTCCTTATCGTAGTGAGCCACCCTGCCAGAGGTGTTGTTTGCTTCAGCATGTGATGCTAGTGCAGATTTGATGTCAATCGTCGCAAGGACGACTCTATGTGCGCTTGAGGGAGCAGAGAAATGAGCAGGGTATGACGCTTCTTTTCGGCATCAAAATGACACGTTATTGAGCCTTCCGAACACGTTGTTTTCAAGCACGAGGTGGCGCAGGAGTCAACGGGCAAGCCACGGAGCTAGTGGTTATTCAGCTTTTGAGAGTGAAAGAATTGATGAAAAGCCAGATCACATCTCGTTGAACGCCGGGTGACATGGAGTGACAATGAGGATGCATGGTTCTACAAAATTCCTTGCCAGAAGACGATCAGGATGGTGAATGGGTTTACTGCATTAACGACCAACCTCGCTCGGTGATGCCATGAGCACATTATTGAACGAGTACGAAAGCTTCCAAAGGATTCAGAAGGATGTCAGAGTTGCCAAGTTTAAGGACTTATTATTAAACTGAATGGCGGACTGATAATGGGAACGGTTTGTGTAAAGACGGAGTCACAGAGGAGATCCTACATGAGATCTTGAGATCTCAACCCGCATAAGATAGGCCTCACTCAAACACCACCAACGTCACGTGATGTGACAACGATGTGACTCTCACTCAAACTTTGTGGTGCGTAAAAGCTGAGTGCTGAGTGCTGAGCCTGGGGGGAGAGGGTACAGACAATAGAAAGGTGTATATAATAGTACTAGTAGTTGTATAAAGGTATATAGGTGCTTTAATTGAGCTCGGCGAGATCTCCGTTTGCCCATTGCTGGCGAGGCAAGAGAGTAGGTGTCTGACTTAGTCAGCAAGACTGAGCACAGATCGTGTTATTGCATTGCTTTACAGGCAATAATGGTAAATCTGTTTCCTGCAAATGGCGGGGGGGTTATATAGTCTGTAACGCCTGAAAGCCGTTTACTATTTAATGTAGTGTAGCCTCTGAAATAAGTAAATGTCACGCTTTCCTCCCTTAAAATTGCAGCAGCGTGACTAAATACATCACGTGACGTTGGTGGTGTTTGAGTGAGGCCTATCTTAACAAAAATCTCGTGTTGTCTAAATCTTACATAACGCGTAGCGTGAGAGAACCAAATCAAGGCTTATATTGAACCGAAGAAGGGATGTGGACTCGCACGATAGCAAGACACTAGATGCGATGATGAAGAAGAATGTGCAGATGATTTTAGAAAACCAGCCCTGGGCCTTGATCTGCACAGCCCGCGTTCAAGCTGTGAAGCAAGCACGAAAATACAGCATGAGTGCACCTATAACTCCGACAACGACTTCCCATTTGACTAGACCGCGCATCGAAGAAGACGTTCATTCCATCGCAACTTTCATATAGCGCATGCGAAGCACAGGTGGGCAAGTGACACCATTTGTGCAGTTTCGAAGGTAGAAGCTGAGTCCTGGCGTTGTCCCGTGCACATCATGTGAAGTCTCCGAGCAGAAATCACGTCTTCCCCTGCGCCTGAAATGCCAACAATATCAATGACAACACCTCGCCAAAAGATAGAAGGACACACCCATGTTGTCAATAACATCTTACGCCTGCCTG